TAACAGTCAGCTGAACTCCTGAGTTTGAGAGCCAACCACCAAAATGGCTCCTTAAACTGTTTTATTTTCAATACTGATCAATTGGATCTAGTGCTAGACTCCATGAGAAGGCGTATGTAACAAGTTCAATAATCATGTATTAAAAGAATTGATAAATTATCTTCATATTGGTGTCAGTCTGATCCAACTCTTTTAACATCTGCGTTACCAGAAAGCAATACAAACGAAACATTAGAGAAAATAAGAAATTTAATTGCTAGTCCACTTTTGTGGGTTTAAAAAATAAGATTTTTTTATTCTGTCATGTTATTTCTTGTGTTTGCCTCTGGCGATGTCATTAGGTATCATACAGTCTGAGGGAAATGCCTTCATATAGATAAGTCATATCTCTACGTTGAACTTCCAGCAAAGTTATAATGCCGTGGGCTCACAGGGCAGCTTTCCGTTCATCTGTGTGTGTTGCCGATGGTTAGAGGACTTAGCTATGTTCCAAATCCTTTACAACCATTATCTCTTTAGGCCTTCAGCACTCCTATCGGATAGGTAACTATTATAGAGATCCTGGTGTTGACACATACTGAATATATAACCTAGGAAGGCTTAAGGAGATTAAGTAGCTTTTCCAAAGTTATATGTCTAGGACATGTCAACATCATGATCTGAACTCCAGTGGGGTCTGACTGCAGAATCTAGGTTCCCAACCATCATTCGATAATCCATCCTCCTCTCCCTTATTTTAGACAATTTGAGAATAAATGTCTGCCTCTGATTCATCTTAGTATCTGCCTAAAGCACGCAATGTATTTAGTATGTGTCAAGAGTTATCTGTTGGCTAAATATATTCTGAGTGAGAAAACTAACTAAGGTGTTGTCTAATATCAAAGAATAATTACTGATCCAATTTAAACTAGAAGACACTGTACTAAGTTTCAAAAAACTTTTAACAAGAGTGCAGAAATTGGAAAATAAAATCGGAGGATAATTAAACTAGAGTCATGTAATCGCTATACCTGAAATCTATTTCAGTCTTTAGGATTCCAACTACATCACAGGACAATCACATAATATTATCATACCTTCAGATACTACATTCTATTGACTCTACTGGGCTTTCTTCCCAAATGAATGAATAAACTCCAGGTCTCTGCTCCTCCTGAACCTTACTGCAGTTAGATGGGCCAAATCCAGCCATATTCTGAGAGATGACAATTGGAGAATTACTTTAAGGATCAAATGCTGTATAAAAAAGTGTACTTCTCTGCCAACCCCACAGAGAATTCACACTTGGGTTTTGTCACCGTATCTGAATTAAATGTATCGGCATTTTGTCCTGTGGAGACATCGTATCCTTCTCTCTCTCTCTTGTCTGCTAGCAAGAATCCCTTACTTGGTACTACTTAGTTAATAACAGACTAAGAGTTTGTTCAAACTCTTACCTATGTTCCAAATCCTTTACAACCGAAACACTTATTATTGTGCCACTTGGGAATACAAATGCTATCCATCTGGACAAAGTTTTACACACAATGTCACAGTACGCAAGTTCATGGTCGGTCTAGAACACTGAAAGAACCCTCCAAAGGCCTTCCATGATTTTATTTTCCCTCTGCCCAGCCTTTCTTCGGAGTCTGTCATTTCTGTTAGGCCACTTGCCTCCACTCCCAGATGCAGGCTGAGCTCTTCCCTCAAGTCCCAAGGTAGAGAGCAAATTCTTTTCCCTCTGGACCCCAGATCTAGTCATTTCGGGTCAAACGCTTTCTCTTCGGCCACTAGACCTGCCACATAACCGCTCAGGTGTCCCCCTCCTTCCAGAAACTTCCCTCTCCTTGAGTATATTCTCAGCCCCACTCCTGTTCTGTTTAGCGTGGGTTTTCATTCCTTGCTAGAAGTCAGTTTTTTCTACAACTCTGCCAAGCATCGCCCACTCACCTGACTCAGCAAGAGTCACACAAATTGCATACTTTAAAAATACCTTTGCTATATCTTGAGCATTGTTCTTTCCTTTACATTTGCAGAAAACAATAAGGCCTGAGCATTTGATTACAGTTTAAGTCCCTGACTCTAGGTAGGCAAATGACCCCTTTGTCTAAGACTTCTACAAGGAGAAATTTTTCGTTACAGACATTAATTAGTTGCTTTTAAATTTATGCAGTCGGAACAAGAAAAGAGCCTTGAAATAAAGCAGAAGAGATTCCACACTTCCGTATCACCTGGATACTAAAATACTTAAATGCACCACTGTAACTTTTCTAATTCTGTCAATCTTCAAGAAAAAAATTAAATGGAGAGAAAACAATTATCTAGCCTCAATGATTCGGTGTTATTTGCCTGAAGGGGGAATCCGGGGTGTTTTACAGTCCCTCCAATTTACTCTTTGCTTCCATCAGTACTTCAGAAGGTAATGTGATCCACTCTAATGACCCCAGAGAACCACTTACCCTTTTCCACGCATCCACTATAAGACTGGTTTTTGGTACTCTTCATTTTTAAAACTCATTCCAGAAATGGGCTTCAGAGAATGACTTTCTAAAGTCAACACAAACTTCAGACTTTGGGTCTCTCTAACAATTGGTCACAGAATGTGGATGAAACTCAGAAACTCAGCAGTGCTCTCTCAAAGTTTTCAAAGCAAAACACCGAACAAAGATGCAGAGATAAGCACAGCTTTCAGACAGCACCAAAGCCCACTGTCTTACTTCCGTGAAAGTCCCAAGCTCTAGAAATAAACACTCTGTATGTGAATTTTTTTTTTTTTATCACGATTATCCACTCAAACAACCTTGATACGTCATTGTCCTTACTTAGATGTTTAAAGAAAAATATCTCTCCCTGGTACAGGAGAGAGGATTTAAGAATTCAGAGAATTTATAGATTAAAAAAAATCTTCAGCAAGGCAAATATCAGATTGTGGCTTTTGGCTTCAAATACTGTAGTCAGATTACTTGAATAATATTTTGTTTTGTGAGATCCTTAAAACTGAATGGTTATATATTTTTCATTCAAAACATTTTCTCCTTTCCTATTTGTGATTAGGATTGAAACTATAAATACAGTAAAAAAAAAAGTATTTTCCTTCAAAAATCTACGCTGTAAATCAACCTAGCTCTGTTAGCTACCTCAGATAAATTCTAAGTTGGACAACATTAAATATATATGTGAATTCAATTAATTATGTGAGTAATTCTCCACTTTTGCAAATGTATTCTGTTCTTAAAAGCTTAAATACAAAATAGGAACAGTTTAATATCATGAGAAGCCTTGTACATTTGCTGAACACCAGGAAAACCTTAAAAAGCACATCGCATTAAGTACAAACCAAAGAGATTTCAGTCCACCCCAGATTCTTTAAGGCTCATATTGTCTCTCTCTCTAGTCATAGATCTAACCACCGAAGCTCAACAACTTCACTGCCACACCGATGGGCCATGCTGAGTGTGTCTACTACAAGCCATGGGAGGATCATCCATCTGTTCATTCACTTAAGATTTATTAGATATGGAGATACACAGGTGAGTAAGACCTGACCCCACCTACTAAGGAGTTCACAGTCTACTAGGGAAAACAAACCCAAAACAGACATTCATACAGCATGCTGTAGAAGTCCAGTGACAGAATGATTCCCCAGATATTCCGGAGACAGAGAGGTACAGAGGACAACCGACCCATCAAGTGTGGAGCACTGAAAATGCAAGAGGCCACTGGAAGAAGCTTCTCGGACTGATGGCGCCCGAAGTGAGTCTCAGAGAACTGAAGGGGAAGAGGACGGGATAGGAAGGGCGGGAAACAGGAAAAGGAAAATACACCAATTAACCGACCACATTAACTTTTTGTCGGATGCCCAAATACAAGTGGTAAAAGTCATGATATCATCTTTGCAAATATATCCAGACCTTTCATTGTACAAACAAAATATCACAATCCGCCGTCTCCTGAGACACCCCTTCTCACTTCCTTTTTTTCCCCTGTCTTTTTCTCTCACATCTACTCACAGAGAGAAAAAGCTTAATCCGTGTGACGAAAACTAAAATATAAGGACCTTCATGGCAGTACTGACAAGTTTAGAGCCTGTGCTTCTCTTTCAGACATGCGACCTTCATCAGTCGCTTATTTTCTGCGCTATCCGCACCGGCCTCTCAGACTTCACTCACGCCTGCTATTCCTCCTCACTCACTGTCCCATCCCCTTCGTCTCTTCCCGCGCTCACCTCCCATGCATACTGCAGAACTAGGCTACGTCATTTAATGCCCACTATTTATTCGAAGATGATGTTACTGAGAACAAGCATGTTGTCTGTGTGCTGGAAGAACTTATAACGGCAGTTCTTTTTTCCCAGCATAAAATCTACCCTTTAATCTGGAACTAGAGTTATTATTGCTATTCGGATTTAGTTTCGTAAGTCTTTAGTAAGAGTTTTTTCTTAAATAAAAATGACCCTATCAGAAAAAAAATTAACATAATCATGCCATGTAGCAGAGAAAATATCTGATTTCTGGCTCTGTCAATGTTTTACTACACAATTCTTTGGTCTATTTAATCTCAAACCTTAAAGAATTCTTGAAATATACCATGTCACATAATTTAAAAAATATTTTCCATATTTTTTTGCTCCATCGTTTGAAAATTATTTTACTGATTTGAAACTGATTAAACACACGTACGGATACAAAACATAAAATACGAAATCATCTTTCAATTTAGTTCTTACATTAATCACTTACCATTTTAATATTTACTTTGCATTATTTGCATCCCCGCAAGTTCAATTAACACAGCGTATGAATAATCGAATTGTGCTTGAACTTGGGAAGGTCGGGGAAAGGAAAAACATGTGAGTCCTTGTCTGGAATGTGAACACGAAGTCCTACTCACCAAGGGGGAATGAATGGGAAAGGAAAGGAGTAGGGAACCAGCCCAGACAGTTAAAAGCAATAGCTAAAAGCAACATGTGAAATTTAAAAAAAAAAAAAAAAAAAATTATAAAGTAAGTTAATTTCACTTACAGTTAAAAGACTCCCTGAAAACAAGTGAGGTAAAGTCCTACTTCATCCCTGGATCCAAGAACCGAGTGGAAGTCTCACTCCAGGGAGGCCTGGCGGGTGCTAAAAGGAAGGAAGAAGGGTGTAAGATCTCGGAATCTGAGAGATGGAAGGCATGCCAGCTGCTCATCCTCCCACCTCGAGCACTTTTTAGAAAGTTAATCATCAAATTAAATGTTATAATCCAATTTCCAAAATTGTTCTACTCCACTTAAACTGCTGTCACCCATAATAGTCTTACAGGCAAATGCATTCATTTCGAACATCATTCTCGTCAGATTCTGCAACATCTGAAGGTCTTGATCATTTTTCCTGTTTCTGATAGGAACACAGCTGGCTCTTCTTTCTCTTGAACACTACAAATGGAGCTTCTGTCCCTAACCACTCTCGGAACCATGGCTGCCCCCGAAGGCTTGGTCTTCAGTGCCCTGCATATTCTTCCTTTAAAGAATCCAGCCATTACTTCTGACACAACAAACTAGAAATCTCCCTCTTTGGCTAGACATTTCAACATGAGCTCTGGTACTATAGTTTCAACTACTTAGGAATTTCCCTTTAAATGTCCAAAACCAAACAAGCCGTCTTATGTCCTCAAAACTGGTTTCTCTTTCCAGTTATTACATGCCTGTTTGTTCTGCAGATCTGGAAGCCTTGAGACCATTTTTTCCTCTCATTTTCTCCTCCCTCATCATTCTGCTACATTCTTCCCATGTCCTACCATCTCCTCTCTCATGCCCGACTAATTCCATCATAACTTTACTCCTGGATCACTTCACTAGGATCTTCTTCCCATTTCTTCCTTTTCTTCATCTTTGACACTGCTGTCAGATCAATTTTCCACTAGATACCATGGTTTGTTTCCTATTCAAAATCATACCATCGCTCCTCTTCTTCAGTATACACATAGTGTGGTAGTTTTAAAATACGTTCCCAGATTCTTAGTGACACTTCTTTCCTTAAAAGGAGGAACCTAATCCTCGTCCCATTGAATGTGAGCTGACTTTACTGGCTTGCTTCTAAGGAATAGAACCATGGCAATCATGCCCTCTGCTCCCAAATCCCTGCCCCACACAAACTGTTACAGGTAATAAATGTTTACTAGTGTTCTAAGCACTACATTTGGGGTGATTTGTTACACAGCGATAGATTACTAATTCAGAAGGCTGAGGCTCAGTGAATCCCATCCACACACTTTAGGCACTCAAGGTCTTCCACTAACTGCCCTTACTTTCTCTCTGAATAGAAACACTGTTTCAGTCTAAGGCCAGTTATTCCACTGACTTCACATGACGTGGTAAAATTCTGCCTCAACTTTAGCCTATGCTAATTTCACAGGAAATGTCCTTCTTGATTTTGTGCACTAAACTAAATTTAATAATTTCTTTTAGGCTAACATCAAAGTCTACTTACCAAAGAAATTTTTCTGTTTCTTAGTGCATATAAACGAACATTTATTTGATTTCTAAAACTATATTTAAGTTATTTAAGGTAGAAATCATGGCTTTGTTATCTTGATATTCCCCATATTAATGAACAAATACATAGAACTTTTTGTTTAGAATTAACTTTCACGAAGTTCCTTTCAAAAAAAAAAAGTCTGAATGTCTTTTAACAATGGGCATATACAATACAGCTTACTTAACTTTAAAAAGTACCAAATAGTTCGAGAAGATAACCTGGTAGAACATATTGCCCCCAAAATATACATGGCCTATGAATAAGCAATTCCGTCTTTAGGAATCTCTTTTAAAGATAGGGTAACAGAAGTAAGCAAAATTACAGATACAAGGATATTCACCACAGAACTGTTTATAAAAGGGAAAAATAAGAAGCAACATGAAATATATCAACAGAGGAAAAATTAGGATACAACAGACTACCATGGATCCATTTTAACGAAATAGGTCTATGCATCCTGACAGTTCAGATCTCTATGTTACAGTAAGTAAAAAAAGCAAATTTCACAAAGAAAATAAATATTTAACGATAAATTTAACAACAAAGGTATAAAACTCATCTGATAAAAACTTTAAAACGTCCCTAAAATGACAAAAATGAAGACTTTAACAAATAGACATTTCTAATTTTGAAACATAACAAGCCGACATCAAAAAAAAAGGTCAGTTTTCCATAAATTTATAAATTTAATGCAATCCCCTTAAATATATCAACAATTCTTGTTACTGATGCTAGACAACTGATACTGAATCTCCTATTAAAAATCCACAAACAGCCAGGAAAACAGTAAAACACTAGAGGGGACGACTAGTCCCTTCAGACACTAAATTACACTATAAAGCATCTATAATGAAAAGTTTGCTACTAGCCCATGAGTAGACAAACCAGTGGAGTAATATAGAAAGTTCAAAAACAGACCCAAGTACAGAGGAAACTTCAGTACGTATGTGATAAAGGAGACATCTAAAATTCACTGGGGCAAAAATGGACTTTTTAGTACATGGTTGAAACAACTGTTAACCATTTGGAAAAAGGAAAAAATAGATCCTACTTCATACTATACACAAAAATCGATGCCAAATGAGTCAGGGATCTAAATGTAAAACAATGAAGCCACACAAGACTAGAGGGGGGAAAATGGTGAATTCTTCACTAACCTTGATATAAGGAAAAGTGTGCTAACTATGACTAAAATTAGGAATAAAATAAAAGACTGATCATTTAGTTCCAAAAAAAATTGACCCAAAGTCCTTTGCAAGACTGAAAACATCATTAACAAAAGACAGCAGATAAAATGGGAGAAAATATTTATGTCATATCACAGATAAAAAGCTAATACCCATAATACAGAGAAAAACTCTTAAAACTAAGGAAATAAAGACTAATAACTTGACAGATAAATGGGCAAGGGGCATGAATACACACACGTAAAATACACACACATATATATACATATATGTATACATATTCACAGATGTATATCCCTTAAACATATGAAAAGATACTGAATTTCACTCAAAAGAAATACAAATGAAAACTACATGGAAATGCTATTTCTCACCTATCAGATTGGCAAAAATTAGACAGTATAAAATGTTGCTCTTGGCTAGTCACTCTAAAACACAGCTCCTTGAAGAAATGGACGCTTGCAGGGCTGAGGCAGAGAAAGTAAACAAGAAGGACCATTCTGTGCCAGAAAATGAGGATATGTCAAGGAGTGACGAGAATGTGTCAGAAGGATAAAGAAGCCAGCTCTAGAGGGCTCCCACTGGCCAAATTTAGGACCATTTAAGCATTAAATAAGTTAATGATAATAAAGTAAGAAAAAGTAAGAATCCATATGTCTACACTGATGTAAATAAGTAAGGAAATGTTCCTCTTTGTGGAAGGAAGTTAACAAATAAATGAAAAAGGAATGACGGAATTTTATATCACCATTAGGAAACCGTAAGAATAATTGATTCGGGCAAGAATCATCCATGGATTCTAAGGCCTACAAGTAAGAGCAGTAACAGGGTATTTAAACCATCACTCCGAAGTTATGGTCTAAAAATGGGGAAAGAGCAACTACACTGAGCAACCCTGGCAGACGGGGCCTTTACCAAGAGATCAAAGTTAACATCGCCAGCAGCAGGACAAACAGACATCGTGTGCCTCAGAATTCAATGCCCTGAGAAGAACACAATGTCCCTTGGGTAGCACTTCTGCCAAAAGTGCAAAATCTGAATCTCACACCATGAGGAAAATTGCAACAAACCAAAATTGAAAGGCATTCTAGTAAAATTGGCCTGTACTCTTCAAAAACGTCCATGCCATGAAACACGAAGACAGAGAAACTGTTCCAGGAAAAAGGAGACCAGATGTAACCTATCATCTGTGATTTTCCAACTGTAAAGAAATTTTGTGGATAAGTGACAGAATCTGACAGTTATATACTTAGATAATATTATTGTATCAATACTAATTTCCTTTTTTTTTTTGGAAAAAGAATAAACTTAATAAATAAGGTGGAGGAAAAGTAATTTCTGGCATAATCTGAATCTTACGATGAGGAAACATCAGATAAATATAAAATAAGCACCTTTCTACTAAAAAAAAAGGATGGGTACCCATCTCTTCAAAAATGTCAATCTGATAAATGACAAACTGTGGAAATACTCCAGATTAGGAGATATTAAACAGATATGACGACTAAATGTGATATATGACCCTGGACTGGATCTCATTCCACAGGAGGGAAAATATTACAAAGGACTTTATTATGTCAACTGACAAAATTGCAATATAGATTGCAGATGTGATGAAAATATTTTAACTATGTAAATTTATGAAGCAATAACTGTTATGCAAGCAACTATCCCTTTCTTAGAAAATTCGCACCAAAATATTTAAGGGTAAAGGGCCATTATATATATGACATTTTCAAATGATTCAGAAATATATATACATATGCACACATATACATACACAGAGAACAAGAAAATATGCACAATTGATAAAGTAAATGAGAAAAAATGTTAACAGGTGAATCTAAGTAAAAATAGTTATTCTTTGCATTATCCTTGGGTTCTTTTGCAACTTTTTAATTTTTAATGGCCAGCCACTAAATGAAATTATTCTGAATTATCATAAAAGATAAGATCAGAAATCTTCAAAAACAAACAACACCAAGAGTGAGTGCTTAATACATTTTAACAATAATTGTATTACTTAAGCATTCATTTGAGAGATAAAGTGTCTCAAAATGACCATGCTAGATCTTAAGGAAAACACAACTGGAAAGAAGCTAAAATGTGCAAAAGAAATTCTATCACGTGTGGGTAAGATCATAAGCTTCTCTACAGTCAGGTTACCTGGCTCTGAACTCGGACTCCTAAGCCCTGAGCTCTCCTAAACTTTGATTTTCTCTTCTATAAACTGGGAATAATAGTATCTATTCCCTAGCGTTATTGTGGATTAAAAGGATAATAGAAAAAAAACATCTTAGCAAAGTGCCCAGTGCATGGTAAGCACTCATTATTATTATTAATGTTATTTCTGCATTGTATTGTAACATATCTGGAATAGAGGAAAGGGGCCTCTGATAACCGATCACAAAGGGAACTGGAGAAGAATTCATTGTGTTTACCCAGCACCACACTCTAGTAAAGATGCTCTGATTTTAGGCCCCAGGTTTTTAGGCAGAATAGTCCCACAGCGAAAAAAGTCCTCCTACAAATTCGCACGTCTTGATGGAACTGTCCATTGAAAAGACTCGGTTCTTCCCCATCTTATTTGTATGTTCACCAAGGAAAGTTACTATCCATATTCTATCCTTTCAGCAAGTCTACAACTGGCCATAGCACATCTGCCACTGTAAATTAGCACGGTGGGATATTCAATCTCCTGTAAGCCTGCTTAGCTTGGTTCGCTTCATTCAGTCTCGCAGTCCCCATCAACTCTGAATGAATTGACAAAATCAAATTTTTCACCTGCCAAGTCACACCCTAGATGCCTGATCGAACGGTGCTGAATTCCTGTCCTCTCAAAGGCCTGCCTGAGCAATCAGTGGCTTCCCTCCCAGCCCGAATTTAACTATCACTACTGAAATGTTAACTTTCCAGAAGCCTCAATCAAGGACAGACCATCTGTCTCCACTGACCCCAGGATGCGTAATGGACACTGAGAGCAATTCAGCACTCACTGGTTAATAAACATTGGTCTTCAAGAGAAAAGGCACTAAGTGCCAATCAATAACTTTGTGTTCATTATACAAAAACAGAAAATAAACAGAGGCTGAGTTAACTTGGAAATTAATTTTAACCTTTCATGCAATTTATTTCAAAACACTGCAAAACAGCAATTTTTAAGGATAAATACCACACAAGTTCACCATGTAATTATACAAAATAATCAAATTGCTATCAGATGGAAATAATTTACTAATAACAGATTTCTAGTATTTTCTCAACAAAAGTTTCATGTCATCTTTAGTAAAACCCAAGAATCTGTATTTTAAGAAAATACAGACATTATTCCTAAATGTTTTTTCTTAGTAACTTATTAAACATACTTATGATCTTGTATCATTAAAAGCAGTACGAATGTATATGCAATATAAATTCCGAGTCCCATTTGCCATTTTCTGTATTCTTCTACTGAAATAAACTACAAACTTCTCTTCTTCTTTCTCATTCTTAGAGGAGGAAAAAATTATCTTTACTCCAAGAGGAGGATAGAATATACAAACTCTTACTCCATCTTTCTTTGTGCTTTCCTGGGTGAAATTCCCAGACTTGCTGGATATCAGACCTCCGTTCAAGTCCCTCCTCTCCACACCAGCAGCTCCTGAAAAAAAAACCTTCTTACATTGTAAACACACCTTTTTCATTAAGTGGCACAAGCAGCAAATTTCCCTTCAACACTGGAAAAATAAAAATTTTCCTCCATCTTCTTCACTTCAGGCCCTAATCTCCAAATTTCTTCAGGACATAAAGAGAAGTATTATCTTACATGCTACATAGCTAATAATAGTATCAACATAAGTCTATGCTTGCTTATTCAAGATTCAAAAGGTAAAAAAGGGTACTCAGGGAAAAGTCACCATGTCCTCCAGCTACCTACTTCCTTCTCTTAAAGGCATGAAATGTTATAGTTTAATTTTCATGCTTCCACAAATATATCTATAGATATCTATACATACAACTTTACAAACTCTTTTATACTTTTCTATGCCTTGTTCTTAAGATTTTACCTTCAAGAATAGAGCTATCAGAATATAATGAGCTCCCTCTTTCTATTTTTATGGCTATATATGACTTTTAAATATGTATAAACCAGTTTCCATGGCTCTGGTCTCTTGTCCCATCAAAACACTCAATACACATTGTGCCAGACAAGTTTGCCTGATTTTAAAAAAGAAAAATAAATACACATTCCACCTCCAAATGTAAATATTTTCTATATATTAGACCATGTTATTATATTAATGCTAAACTTCTTAGGTATGATAATCGTATTGTGGTTATACTAAGGAAAGTCCTCTTTAGCAGGTATTTGGACGTGAAATGTCATGGTTTCTGCAACTTACAGTCGAGTGATTAACAAAGTAACACAAATATACCTACCACATTTGATTCGAAACACATACACAGAATGTACAGGCAAGTGGTACAGGCAAGTGCAGCAAAAAAGTTATTAACAATTGTTTAATCTAGAAAAGGGCATATAGGTGTTCAGAATATTACTTTTCTAAAATTTTAAATTTTCCAAATAAAAAGACAAGATAAAAGGTCTCCAGTGCTTCCACAGAGTCCACTAATTTGTTACAATGTTTTCTTCAATTTATTTAAGTTTTATTCAATTCATTTAATCTCTGAATTCCCAGCCCATGTCCTAACCTAGCCCACCCATATCACTTGAACTCTCCCAAAGAAAAGTAAAACGAGTCCTTTAGCTATTCTTAACTATCGGTCCTTCGAACTGCTCAAATTTCACGGCTCCTTGGGGTCTTCCCCCTACTGGTTCAGTCCTCCCTCCACTCTCCTTGTCTAGATCAATCTTCAGGGTCAGATTAACCGCATCTCGCCATTTCGTGGCCCATGCACTGGAAACCCAGGCAAAGAGTAAGGCTTCTAGAGGAAGAAGCTCCTGATGAGTATGATGAGTACTTCTTTTGTAATTCCCACAGCACCCAGCTCAATATGATGCACATAATAGGTGTGCACAAATTTTATTAAAGGAATGGGTTTTCCCAAACATGGGAAGGTCCCAACGCTCACTGTTACAGTCTTCTTAGGAAAGCATCTCCGGTCTTCTCAGCTTTTTCTCCAATGCTTTACACTCATCTCATCTTCCCTATCCTTCCATTCTTCTCTCCGATACAATGACAGATTATCCCACTGCGAACAGAAGAATCTGTTCTATAATCCCAAATAAAGCAACTGTAGAAGTTAGAATAGCCAAATTCTCTTAAATTTGATTCACGTAACATGACTCTCCAACACTATAATAAACTATAAACAATTTGAAAAAAAACACCTCTCAATTACCTGTTTATGGAATATACCTTCATAGTATGACAGATCTACCTCTGAATGTGCGTTGTTCAGTCCATCAGGATGATGCTAGAGACACTTGAATACAGAGGCGACCATCATGTTGACAACAACCTGTATCTAACAACATCACACTTGGGAAAAGTTGATTCCCTAACAAAAAATACAAGTGATACCTATTAAAAATAGGAACGAGAGCTATTTGAAATAGGACACAAATGGCAACTGCACAAATGTACAATGAAAGAATCTAAATCTATTTTAATTTTCTCTCCTGAATTCAAGTCACAGAACTGGAAAGGAACCTTAAAGTTCAACCTTCCCAAAACAGAGACCCAAAGAGGTTAAACACGGAGTCCAACCTCTCACGGCTAATAAGGTCAAGCTAGGTTTAGAACCCACATACTCTCCTCGGGCTTCTCTGCCCATTTGACCTCTAAATTTCGTAAATTTAACTTTCTTTCCCAAAAAAGCCGAGTGGATAGGGAAGTGGAAGACCTAATTGTGGGCAACTATGCCACTGACCAGATGTGTAAAATTAAGTAAATGACCTCATCTATAAATGCAGACTAAATTAAACTAGCTCTGAATCGTCTCACAGCTAGAATACAATCTGACCTTTGATAGTGGCATAAGTAGTAGTTGGGTATTCAAAACAAATCTGATGCTGTCATTTTTTTATACCAAGTTTTGTTACAGTTTAAGCAATTTAAAGACATTATTTTAACCCAAATATCATCTTTACCGAAAATTTCATAAGTAGAAAGAATCCTGAAATTCAGCAATTACACGATTACTATTACCTAAATTTTGGCAGAATGTCCTTGAGCACAAAATATAAACTTCAATCCAAAACCTAATTGACTGCCTATTTAAATATCCCAAAGAGTTTGGGAAGTTCTACATTTCACACCTATTTTCCATTCAACATGAAGTACGCCATACAAACACATTGAACTCTTTAGAAATAGTTTGCACCGGCGTGGAATTTTACAGGCTACACATAACTTTAAATATCAGAATAAAACTTGGCTTTAGCTCTGGTCTGCCATTAGTCAGACTAAAAAAAGATGTCTGTGGTAACTATAGGATGTTACAAGGCTATCCATGACAGGAAGGAGAAAAAACCAAAAGGGGAAGGAAGAAGAACAAAAGAAACAGAAAAGAACCACAGAAGAAAAAAAAGGGGGCGGGGATTATGAGAGTAAAGAACACAGAAAGAAAAGAGAATAGAGGAGGAGGAGAGGAAAGGCCGAAAATGGCTTGTCGGTAGCCTAGGGCCACAGTGTGCCAGCATCCCACGAACATTTCAAATAGACTCCAGACACCTTTAAAGGCTTTAGTTTGTTTTCTTTTGTTTAGTTTTGGACAGGAAGTTTGCCCAGAAAGGACACGGTTACCTGTGCCTGCTACTAGACTCCACATGCAGGATGAGGAGGATTCCAGTGCAGGAAAAGTAACGCAGGAAGACCTTGAGTCTGAAATACACTAGACGGTTTACCTGGCAAGTCCAGCATCTGATACGTTCCCGGTAAGTAATCGATCTTCCCAGAGCTCGGATCTCTTAACTCCGCAAAAGCGTAATGATCCAAAAAGATGTTTTAGTATGTAATAAGTGTATCTGTACAATCACAATTCAGTGCTCTCCAAAAACCACCAAGAAAATAGTCAGAAGGGGGCATTTCCAGTCAGACTCCGGGGGTGCACTGTTTCAACATGCAGGCCCCTTCCTGAGTTAAGGGGATGGAACCATTGGACACAGAATGAGCCCAGGATATCACGCCACCAACACATCCCCCACACAAGAGCAAATGCTCTCCAACCATCATATGGACAATCATTTAAAAAATCTTTTTAAAGCAAATCTGTTATTGGGATATTTTAGAATCTCAAATTATCTTGTTACTGAAAAATATTCTGCACATGGTATGAAATGACTAAATAGCTTGTTGATTTATTAAGCCTATGAAGTCCTTGTTCCAAACTGCTGACAGACACAGATCTATGGCAAAGAGCAAACGTCTACGCGCCTTGTCAGAAGACTTGAATTAGTAGCAGAAAGAATCTTAATTTCAAATCTTTTAAAGGTGGGGGGAAAGGAAGATTTTGATATCTTTTCCCATGAAAATGGGAAAAGCCCGTAAACGAAACAGAGTTAACGTTTTACAAACTAGCTGCAAAGCATAATACAGACCATAGATTTCAAAGATAAAATCCACAGAAAGGCTATGAATGGTATTTTATTGAAAAATATTTTTCACTTTTTGCTATCAAGTACCTGCATTTTCACGCAACAATCGCTAAAAACTGAAGAGTCATCACAAAGTCTTTTGGAATAGAGCCTATAAAAGGTAAGTTTTATACAATTTTTGAAAGCAAAAAAATAGGAAAAGATGAAGGACTATTTAATCTCTCTGGAAATAAAGAAACAGAAAGTAATTATAGATTTTTAGAAAATGGACAATATGTGCAAGAATGCACGTTACATCAACATAAAAGCAGAAAGCAAAACAATTTTCAGTGACCTTGACAATGAACAGATAAGTAGCTTGGTGTAGTTGTGAACATTACAAAAAGTTTCAGTACAACAAAAATTCTCCTAGAAATAAACAAAACAAAACAAAACAAAACAAGCACTCAAGGTCACAGGCCACATACAATTCTGCAAGAGAAAGATCTGAGGTAGCACTTTTTCTGAGCTGTTTAAGAATTTGCAGAAGTATTAAGCACTTTCCCAGAAACTCCCCCTTGTTGTCTAAATACCATCAATGACAGGATAAGAAGCAACAGAATCTTCCAAATGTGAGGGTCAACAACCCTTCCAAAGTGGAGCACTCAGGTTCAGCTGTCGAGTGTTCTGCTGCAGACAGCCCAAGTAAGGAGAGGAGTGCCCTTGACCATCCCTAACTCCTGAAGGAAAAAGCAGCCGGCCTCACCACAATCTAAGTAAGGAGGGCTTGATCTCCTGATCCTGGGATTCAAGCCCCTACTCCTCACTGAGACCCCTCACTGAGGTTATTTAACAAGTGTCTTTCAAAAAGTTAAAGTGTCACGATGTGAATAAACTCAGTCGTAGCACTTTTAGGGTCAGAAACACCTTACTCCACGAAGCCTTCATTTTATAGCAGCCTCTGGCACAGGCTGGGACACTCCCCCAAGGTCCAGTAGCTGGTGGGAACTAGAATCCAGGGGAAAGACTGTAAAGCACAATATCCAAAGAGGCAGGTACTCACTAATCATTAATGTAAACATGACTCTACCTCAATACTCTTTCCACCAAACTAAGATCAGCCACAGCACAGACGAGAACGTCGGACAGGAAAAAGAGGAAAATGTAGGGGTAGGATTGTAAAGAAAAACCACAGAGAGGTCTGGCCAATCAGAAGTCAGCATGAGAAGCCAAAAGCCTGGCTGTGAGACAAAGAGAAAAGTCAGAAGTTGTAAGAAAGGACCCTCAACAGATGTGGGAGGGCAAAGACAGATGTTGCCCAGTGCTAGTGTGATTACACACAAGAAAAATATGAAGTGTCAATTCTCAAAAGTAACGGTCCCCAACCTTTTGGACACCAGGGACCTGTGGTCCTATGACAATCTAATGCCTGGTGATCTGCGGTGGAGCTGAGGTCGTGATACCAGCACTGGGGAGCAGCTGCGAACACAGATGAAGCTTTGCTCCCTCACCCTCCGCTCATCTCCTGCTGTGCAGTCCGGTACTGGGCCATGGCCTGGGGGTTGGGGACCCCTGCTCCAAAGCATAGGAGGCTTTTAAAAGGTTCTGGGGGTGGGAGACAAACCCCAAGAAATATGGGGCGAGCGGAATCAGACAGCAAGCTTCCATCCCTCTGGCTGCTCAGTGAAAACTGGCCCATGGGCCATCCCCTGCCCTCTTGTCATACAGACTGCTATCCCCAGCCTCAAACTGTCAAGCCTGAAGAATTCAAAACAGTGTCGCAGACAGAGTTACGAAGATTATGTCACAGATGTTGGAGTAAAGAAATGACTGTAGATCTGAGTAGCAAATGACGTGTAGTTCTTTTCAAAGAAATAAATGGCAGCTTAAAATCCATAAAATACAGTCCAAAATCAATTATATGGATGCTAAATCAACTCAAGATTCTAGGTTCAACTATTTTATAAAAACAGAAAAGAGAGAATTTCAAGATAAAACTGAAACTAGTAGATAGTGAAAAGCAGTGAGATCTCCTGGCCTCAGCCCAGCTTTGTGGCCTGTGCTACACACTGTTTCCTAATCCGTAAAACACACCCAATAATAAGCATCGCATATGCCTTCCAGGAATTTGACCGAAACTAGTTAATAATCATAAAGCAATCTAAAAAAGTTAGTACTGCATGAATCCTCAGCATAACTTGGAAAGTCATTTGATATAAGTCAAATAATAGCATCTGGTGATATTCTGAAGTATTCACCGGAAACAGTAAAGAAAACTCATGAACTCATTTTCTAACAAAGCAGCCCGTGCTATTAACCAGTCTAGTCTTAACATACACACATTAAGTTGTAGAACATTTAAAAACTTAAAATTTTTCATTTTTACCCTCCCATTCTTTACCTTTTAACCTATTTCTTTTATTACTTCCTTTCTCTCAGATAAAAAATATTTTTCCCCAAAAATCTTACTATTCCTTTTTCCCCAATAAATTCACTCCCATTAGAACGTACTGTCACACTTCACTTCAACTCACCTCAAACCTTGAATGCATCGCACTTGGGAGTCTACTTTAATCGGGAATGGTTCCAGAGCACCAGCTGTTACAGTGCCTTAGCATCTCCATGACCTGCCCACCCCCGAAAAAAGATGCTCCCCTCCCCCCACAAACATACA